GGGCAGGATTCCCAGGCGCCACGTGACCTCGTGGAATGCGGTGACGTCACCGGCGGGGGTCCATTAAGAAAAAAAAAGTTTCTTTTCGGGCGTTCGAAGGAGGGGGGAGGGGAGGGAGGGGAAAAAAGTTTGAAAGAAAGTTTCCGCGCGAGGTGGGGGGAGCGCCGAGGTTTTCTTCCGCCCCGGGTGTTGGCGAGGATCGAACCGGCGGGGTTGCGGGACGGCGGAGGCGCCGGAGAAGGCTGGGCGCCCTCCCCCCCCAGCTGGCCAGCCCCTCCTTGGGAGCAGGTAAGCCCAAGAGGGGCGGTGGCTGATTCTCTCTTCCCCCCCAATTGCTCTCTCTATGGGTTGGAACCCCGCTCTTCCTCTCCGGAGAACCTCTTACTTGGGGGGGCAGGTATGGAAAAAGGGGGATCGGGCCCCCTAAGTGGGGGGGGGACCGCACGCCTTCCGGGTAAGATCAGCTCGCCCCAGCCGAAGTGCCCCCCCAAATAGACCAGGTGGGATGGGATGATGAGGGCGGGAGCCCTTTCCTCCCCAAATTCCACGGAGATTTTTTTGGGGGGGGTCTTTCCCCCTTCCTCCCCCCCCCGGTGTGATCTGAAACATCCCATCGTCTGAAAGGAAGGAATCGGAGGCCAGGACGCCTGGGTACAGAGGGCTTAGGAAGCTTTCCCTCTTTTTTTAGGACTACAAAGCCCAGGTGGCTGGGGACTTCTCTTGCTCCCCCCTCAAAAAAAACTTGTGGGTTCTTGAAGCTGTACTTGGGAAACTAATCTAGATGATGGGAACTGTAGTGGAACCTGGACTACATGAGGCACGGCGGACAGGAACCGAACCTCATGCTGGTTGGATTCCGGGCTTTGTAGTTCCAGCACAAGAAAGTCTCCCCAGGTCTGGGGGGGTCAAATGCCCTTGGCTTCGCAGCCCCTTCTCTCTGGAGCTGGTGGATGCTGGACGTTGTAGTCCAAAAAAAAGGAACTTGTCTGGATTTTCCCTGGGTTATGTCGCAGCACCCCCCCCCCCCCGCTCGTCCATCTTGCTAAATGAAATTTGGGGAGGGAGAAATCGGGGATGTGGACAAATCTCAATCTGAAGCCCCACCCAAGTCACCTGAAGAAAAAAGGTTTTTGTGTTTGAACAATAGTAAAAAGCGAAGCCAAGCAAATGTATTTGTTGTGGGCCCAAAACTGAAATATTGTATCTGCAGAAACCGATACAGGCTCCCCATGAAAGAAAGTGGTCCGTTTCAAAGTGTTTCTCCCCTCCCCCCCCACAGAACATTTTTTATTTTCTTTTGGTTGTCCTGCTGGTCAAGTGAAAGACTGGTTTGCCTCTGAGCATATGCAGAGTGTTCCTTTTATACACCTCTGGGGGTCTGGCGCTAAGGGGGAGAGCTTTGCCCTTCAAAGCCCCAGGAGGGGTTTGTTCCAATAAGCAAATGTAGAATAAGGGACAATTCGGATACTGGACTGCAGTGGGAAATCTTATATTTTTCAAAAGATGCTTTTGTGCAGAAGGAATACACACCTTGCCCTGATGTCATATGTGCAATTTATCCCCCCCCCCAAATCTTGGAGGTGTGCGCGTGGCTTTTTCATTTGTGTCTCCTTTCCGTTGCTATTTGTAACTTGGCTCACTCACTCGAGTCGCCTTGAATATATCACACAACAGGCCGTTATTGTGCTCAGCCACAGCACCGTTTAGCCTTTCTGGGTACAACTTTTTTTTAGGATGATTGTCTTCCTTAAATGAGTGGGTGGGTGGGTTTGACCTCCTTGCTGGACATAGGGTGAAGAAGAAGCATTATGAGTTCAGAGTACATTGTGAGTTTAGTCTGTTTGTTTTTTCAATAACGTGTGAGCTACTTTGGCTTCGTCCATTGGGAGAACAGTGGCATATAAATATAAATAAATAAAATGGATGCTGCAGGCAACCGCAAAAACACCTCTCTTAAGCTGGTGCAAGATAACGTCAGACAGTTGACGGGAAGGTTGGTTTTTTGGACTATACTTCCTATAATCCCCCAACTGAGGGCTTCGGGGGTTTGTTGTCCCCTTCCCCCCAAAAATTAGCTTTTTAAAGTTCTGGTGAGAGGTGGTTGCGCTTCTTCAAAGACCTTTTCGACACCTTCTGTTTCTGTCCCATGTCTTCTCACGACCACACACACACTCATATATGTGCAGTGATTTGAATCCAGGCCTCCACCTTCTTTCGCCAGGACTGTGTCCCAGACCAGCTTTTAATTTTTATTTGGGACAAACTTTGTGGTGCTGGCGGGCCCTGCTGTGTATGACTTTGCAGTTTTTGCATTGCAGGCAACTTTGCTGCGGGCGAATCCCCACCAAGAAGCCAAATTTGCACAGCCTTTGATGTGCAATTTAAAAAACGAAAATAAAATGGAAGTTTTAAAAATCGTGTTGTATTTTTCTTAGAACTGTCCTATTATTTGGGTGCACATTCCCCATGTGGCCCAGTAGAAAAGAATTTTCCTCTTTTCCTTTCTTGGTTCTAAATAAAATCATTTTTTAAAAAAAGGTTAAAAACAGTCTTTTGAACCATTTCAGCAAATCTGCCCTCATGTTGCCTGGGTTTCTAAGGGCAAATAAGCAACAGGTTAAAAGTGACTGTGGAATAACAAACCCAAAATATATGCAGAAAGGACTGTATGGATTGCTTAGAAGGCTTAGAAAATTGTGATCATGGGGATGATATTTTTAACAAAGTCTGCGGGTGGCCTTATGAGAAATTGCTGTGTCATGTTTTTAAGGATGCAGTACATTGTTGTTTTAAATATTCATGCATTCATATATTAATTCATTTCTTTTATTTAATTGATCAAAGAGATGCAACTGTTACTTCTTTACGTTTTGCCGCCTGCAAAAGTCCTTTGGACGTAACAGGCCAAAGTTTCGCCAACATCCAGAGTCCATCATGAACCGTCAAAATGCCTTGTCTGACTTCTGGATTGGCAGTGGATTTTCTTCCGCTCACCCCCGGGAACCCCCTCTCGGGCCAAGCCAAGAGTCCGGGGTCCTCGAAGGCTGTCGGTACCTGCTGATGAAACCTCGCTTCCTTCTTTCTTGAATACAATATCCTCTTTTATTCCTTAGCGTTCCTCGTGATGTCTGGCCCTACCTGGCTTCCCCCGAAGCAGGTGGGTGTCCCGGGCCAGCCTGGCCTCACGGTTTCTGCTCCAGCAGGCTGCAAGCCCCAGAAAAGTTTTGCTTCCATTCCTGCACTGCCCAAACCGGCTTACGGATCTCAGGAGGTGAACGGGACCATGAGCAGCGCCACGGGGCCATCGCCTCAGTACCAGCCCCCTCTGCCAGGTAATGGGTCCAGTGCTAATGAATGGGACCCCATGGGGTCGGAATAGACTTCGAAAATATGAATAAATGAGGGATTGGTTTGTATTCTCGGAGGCTTTCATGGCCGGGATCTGAGGGCTGTTGTAGCTTTTTCAGGCTGTCTGGCCATGTTCTGGAGGTCGTTCTTCCTAACGTTTCGCCAGTCTCTGTGGCCCGGCATCTTCAGAGGACGGGAGTCAGAACTCTGTCTGTGCTCTGGTGCAGTCTGTGGGATGGTTGAGTATTTATTGCTGTGGGATCAGCTTTTTGTCCTTTTCAATCACCTCTTCGATTTCGGACTATCTAGTTAGTTAGGCATCCTTCAGTCTCGAAAGACTGTGGTGACGTGCTCTGTATGGAGGACTTGGAACAGCGTCTAGTGTGGCTGAAGAGTCCAATTCGAGAGTGGCAATCTCTTCCACACTGAAGACAAATCCAATCTGTCCCCTGTCCAGCTCCCTGATTTTGCTGCTTTCGTAACTGCCTGTTTACCTCAGCCTGCTGGACAAGGGTCTCTTCAAATTGGAAGAGGCTGTGATGCACCACATGCCTACAGGCTGAACGCTCAGAGGTCAAGGTTTCCCATCTGTTGAGGTCCATTCCTAAGGCCTTCCGATCTCGCTTGCAGATATCCTTGTATTGCAGCTGTGGTCGCCCTCTGGGGCGATTTCCCTGCACTAATTCTCCCTACAGGAGATCCTTTGGAATCCGACCATCAGCCATTCTCACGACATGCCCAAGCCAACGTAGGCGTCACTGTTTCAGTAATGTATCATTTTCGTTTAGTCGTGTCCGACTCTTCGTGACCCCATGGACCAGAGCACGCCAGGCCCTCCTATCTTCTACTGCCTCCCGGAGTTGTGTCAAATTCATGTTGGTTGCTTCGCAGACACTGTCCAGCCATCTCATCCTCGGTCGTCCCCTTCTCCTCTTGCCATCACTCCTTCCCAACATCAGGGTCTTTTCCAGGGAGTCTTTTCTTCTCATTAGATGGCCAAAGTACTGGAGCCTCAGCTTCAGGATCTGTCCTTCCAGTGAGCACTCAGGGCTGATTTCCTTCAGAACGGATAGGTTTGTTCTCACAGTCCAGGGGACTCTCAAGAGTCTCCTCCAGCACCACAATTCAAAGGCATCGATTCTTCGGTGGTCTGCTTTCTTTATGGTCCAGCTCTCACTTCCATACATCACGACAGGAAAAACCATAGCTTTGACTATTCGGACTTTTGTTGGCAAGGGGATGTCTCTGCTTTTTAAGATGCTGTCAAGATTTGTCATTGCTTTCCTCCCAAGAAGCAGGCGTCTTTTAATTTCGTGGCTGCTGTCTCCATCTGCAGTGATCATGGAGCCCAGGAAAATAGTAATGTATACATGCTGAATATTCCAGCTCGTTCTAGGACTATCTCACTCTACCTTAAAGGTTTCTATTTCAGCTGTTGTAGCCCATCAGCCCTCTTCATTCTGAATCAGCAAGACTTTTCTCACACCCAACCCTAAAAAGATTCCAAAATATTTGACCTCCAAGACAACAACCTCTGCCTCAGTGGTCTTTACAACTGGTCCTCAATACCCTTACTTAGACCAGCTTTCGAACCAATGGCCGCCTGTAATCTTAAGCTACTTTCTTTAAGGGCATCGTTCCTTGTTGCAGTAACATCTGCCAAACGTACCAGTGAATTAGCGGCCCTCAGATCAGATCCACCTTATCTCCAGTTCCATCCAGACAAGGTCACCCTCTTATTTTGATGTCTCGTTTTTACTGAAAAAATTGTCTCTGATTTTCATCTTGATCAATCATTGATTTTGCCAACTCTGTTTCCTTCTGCTTCTACACCCATCGAGCGCATGCCCTGAAAAGGATAAAAAGCTGATCCCACAGCTATAAATACTCAGCTATCCCACAGACTGCACCAGAGCACAGACAGAGTTCTGACTCCTGTCCTCCGAAGAGGTCGGCCACAGAGACTGGCAAAATGTTAGGAAGAACAACCTTCAGAACACGGGCAAAGAGCCCGAAAAACCCACAATCACCAAGGGATTTGGTTGTCTCTGTTTTAAAAGTGTTGGTAGTGGCGGGGGAAATTATTGTCTGCCCAAAACCACATGGGCCATTGTAAAGTTAATTATAATTTAAGCAGATTTAGGACACAGCTTAAGTGTCTCAAATCAGGTGCGATGTCTGTTGCTTTGTGCTGGCTTTGGGTGAGGAATCCTTGTGTACAAAGTCCAGAACTATGATTTTTGCACGCACACCCCGGTTCCTTGGCAGGCCTTGGCTTGTGGCTCGCGCGGATGTGGTGCCTCTTGTCAGACCTGCTTCCTTGCCGGTTTGACAGCTGGGCTATCTCTCGCTTGCCAGCAGAAAGAAAATGACGGTCCCGGAGGGCCACGGTGTGCCTAGAGGCCCCTTACACCAATAGGGGTAGAAATATTAAATTGGGGGGGTGGTCCAGAGCCTTGTTTGCAAAGCGAGAGTAAATGCATCTCAAAAAAGTTGAAAGGCAGCAAGACTTAAAAGGAAAGATTTCATGATAAAATGGGTGAGCGACCCCCATGGAACTGACCGCCACATGATTTTGCAGTGGCGTTGGTCATAGGAGAGCTGTTGGAACGGGACTTCAGAGGTCGACCGAGTTGCTTTGCCTTTTGGATGATAGTCAAGAGAAAGTTGACAGTCTGCAACTCTTCACGCTCAGAGTTTGAAGGATCCAGCCGAAGAAGAAAGAGGAGGCGGTTTTGTTGTGCCAGGCTTAGGGCCTTTTCTTTTTTGGCCGGCCGCTCAGTGTTTGGAGCAACTGGCCAAATGGCTCACCGGCTTGACCCGGGGGCTTCAAAACCTGTGGCTCCTGCTGTGCGTTCCCTCTTCAAGCGAGCGCAGAATCAGTGGTAACCTAAGATATTTTGCCGCCTGAGGCAGAGTAACGTGTGTGGCTTCAGGTGGTGCCTCCCTTTTTTGCTGCATGTATTGGAGGAGATTCAATTTGTGTTAGAGATAACACAAACACACTGTGTGCTCCCCGCCACTGCGAAAAGGTTATGCTCACAAGTACACAAGGCAGGGTGTTCTCTGTCGCAGGACCTCACCTGTGGAACTCTCCGCTAATGGAAATTAAAGTTGATTGAGAGGCAGAAGTGTGATTTCCTTATACCTTTTGGTTTTTCAAACTGGTTTTTCAAGCAGGCACTCAAAATTGTTTTAATTTGATCTGTAAAGAGTGTTTTATGTACACACATATATATATTTTTAAAAGTGTACATTGGTTTGGGGCGCCAGTGGGAGAAATGAGACTAATGCTGGTCAGTGGCTGGAAAATACACTGGGCTGACGCATTGCTAGACTCTGGAACTCCCTGCTACTGGAGGCCAGCCTGGCCCCCATCTTGGCTGTCCTTCCGCAAGCAGATAAAAGACCTTTCTCTTCAGGCAGGCTTTCCCCGAGTGACTGGCTACTTGAGTGGGATTTTTAAAGAGATTGTTCTGCTTTACTGCTTTAAATGTGCTTTGGTGTTTATGGGTTTTTTTTTTTTTTACTATGGCAGGTGATCCTTTTTTCATTTGTATATCCACTGTTGTTAGCTTTAAAGACTCTCTTTTAATGATGTAAGTTTCCTTTTGTTGTTTTTTTAGGGAGAAAGGCAGGGTAAAAATATTTAAAAATAAAATCAATCCATAAATCTTTTGGTTGTTGTGGATTTTTCGGGTTCTTTGGCCGTGTTTTGGAGGTCTGTGGGTTTTTCGGGTTCTTTGGCCGTTTTGGAGGTCGTTCTTCCTAATGTTTTGCCTGTCTCTGTGGCCGGCATCTTCAGAGGACTGGAGTAGGAACTCTGTGCTCTGGTGCAGTTTATTTGGGAGTTGAGTATTTATAGCTGTGGGATCAACTTTTGTCCTTTTCAGGAGATGGGTGATTATGGTGATCAGTGTGTTTTTGTAAATCTTTGCCCGCTCGGAGATGAGCTGTGGGTTTTTTTGCACGCTGGTGGGTGATTATGGTGATCAGTGTGTTTTTGTAAATCTTTACCCGCTCGGAGATGAGCTGTGTGTTTTGTTTTGTTTTTTTTTTTGCACGCCGAGTAGATCCTGACCCCCTTTCCTCTCCCCCTTCCTCTGCCATGCCAGGGCCCTCTTCCCTTCTTCAGGACTCCTCTGCTGAGCATCGTTACTCCCCCGCGGACGACCGAGGGTCAGGAGGGTCGTGGGGCAGCGTTTCTCCTTCCGGCTATTCCTTACAGGTAAGGGACGGCCTGGGGAAGACGCCCAGTCGGTGAGGGTGGGAGAAATACTGCAGACTACATGTCTCTCCGAAGGCTCAAACACTGGCAGTATAGCATGCATTCAGAAGAGCGAAATGACGATGCGATGTGGACACCCTATCCTTTTTGCTGTTGGGACGTGGAGGGAGGTCAAATAACTCCTTGGGCTGAAAGAGGCTCCATATGCATTCAGAAGAGCGAAATGACGATGCAATGTGGACACCCCATCCTTTTTGCTGTTGGGACATGTAGGAGGGTCAATGAACTCCCGGGCTGAAAGAGGCTCCCTCACCCCATTTTAGCTTGCCCCTTACCCAGAGCCCTGAAACTCACTGGGTGATGTTGAGCCTACCTGGTGGGGTTGTTGTGCAATAAAACGACAGGAGTCAAGTGCGCCACCTTGAGCCCGCTGGAGGAATGACAGGGTAAAAGTGTAATGGATGGAGAAGTAACTTAAGGAGATGTGCATGTATCTCTTCTAGCGTGGAGGGTGGCAATGTTCTGGAGGGTGGGGGGAGAGGGGGGGAGTGTCACCTGATTTTGACTCTTGTCCCTTCTTCCCAGCAGGGGGCGCCCCTGACGCAGGGGCCACCCCGTCCCTCCAGCATCGACGTCCAGATCGACTCCCTCACCAGCATGCTGGCCGACATGGAGAGCGCCCGTCACCGCCGGGCCGAGAGGCAGGTAAGGAAGACCGGGTGGGGAGTTTTGGAGGCGCTTGGGGGGAAAACACCCGCTTTCGGGGAGTTATGGCTCCTCGGATCCCCAGCTGTGATGGCTGTCGGGCCGAGAGGCAGGTAAGGAAGACCGGGCAGGGAGTTTTGGAGGCGCTCGGGGGAAAAACACCCGCTTTCGGGGAGTTACGGCTCCTCGGATCCCCAGCTGTGATGGCCACAGGGGATTCTGGGGGTTGTAGTCCGAAAAATGAAGCCGTCCCCGGGCTCCTCGGATCCCCAGCTGTGATGGCTGTAGGGGATTCTGGGTGTTGTAGTCCAAAAAATGAAGCCGTCCCCAGCTCCGGTTGTGGCAGGGCGTGATGGTTTCCCCATGACGGGGTTTTTGTTCTTCTCTTTCTTTCCCTGGCTGCAGAATCTGGAGTCCCCTCCGTATCCCCCCGCCGGGGCGCAGCCTGGCATCGCCAAATCCACAACCACCTACAAGCCTGGCCTTTCCGGGACCTTTCCTCCTGCCAAGTCTTCCGGGTTTGCTGCCGACCTCTACCCGAAAAGCGTCCCCTACGGGGGCCAGCCATCCCCCCAGGTGCCAGCCTATCCGACCGCCTCGGCTCTGCCTTCCCAGTACGCTGCTCCGGATCGCGGCGATGCCTACGGCTCCGGCTACCCCCGGGCGATGGCGGTGCCCAAACCTTACCCGCAGCCGATGCCAGCCTCGTACGCCACTGCGTCTTCCTCCGCCGGCCCGCCCTTCAACGTGCAAGTCAAGGTCGCCCAGCCGGTGTTGGGCTACAACCAGCCACGCCGCCGGCCCGAGCAGGCTTACGGGCCTCCCTCCCCCCGGCCCAGCTATGGGGCAAAGCCGCCCCCGCAGTATCCCTCGGAGCCAGGGGGCAGGACCCGCCCTCCCAACGGCGAGCCCTGGTATCCGGAGCCGCCCCCGTCGTACGGCCGGCGGATGGCCGAGGGGGAATTTTACGCTGGGCCCGGGGGCCACGCCAAGGCGGGGGGCCCGGGGGGCCAGTACCAGCCTGGCTTGGCCAAACCAGGGAAGGAGGAGGTGGCGATGGCTTCGCAGATGCCAGCGAGCGGCGGAGGCGTGAGGTACCAGCACCAGGTAAAAGTGGCCGTATCGGGAAGGGAGAATTAGGGAAGTGGGAGGCGACGGAAAGCTATTTTTTTCTGGACCACCGTTTCTGCCCCTCCCTCCCAGTTGGCCTATCAAGATCCATGGGGCAGAGGCTGCTGGATGGAGAGGGGAAGCTGCACTCTGTGCATGCTCAAAGGCACACTCCGGTTCTCTCTTGCTTCATGCCTGCCTGGAGGGAGGATAGGTTCTGTCATTAACCTGCGTTGAACGGGGTGCTCCGTGGAAGGCCATCCTCGGTCTTTATAGCAAGAGCAGCATCCGTATATGTGGCCCTTTGCTACTCCAGGTAAACGCGCTTTGGGACATTGCGGCTCTCTGGGGTGCCCTACAGAAAGAACAGAAGGGAGAGAAAGACCAGGGAAGAGGGTGTGCATTATTGCTTTTCCAGCTTACAGATCCCGTCAGCCCCTCAAAAGACATCCAGGGGTAAGGGAACATGAGAATTTATAGTGCCGAAACATCCGCAGAGCTGGTAGATTTTCCCAAGCCAGGGCAGGAGAGAAGAAGGAACATGGGACTGAGGATATTTTTCCGTACCTCATTTTGTCCTTCTCTTCCGACCCCTGAATTCCAGGCTCCCCCTTGTCGCCCGGAAGAGGAGCTGGATCGGCTCACGAAGAAACTGGTGTACGACATGAACAACCCGCCGTCGGGGGAATATTTTGGTGAGTTTTCTGGATTCGGCCGTGGCGTTCCCTGCCCCGAGGTGTACGTAGTGGTGGCTCCCTGCCTTGGATAATCCAGGTAATTGAACTGCAACTCCCAGAAGCCTTCACTGTGCTGCCCAGGGGTTTCTGGGAGTTGCAGTCCAAGAACACCTGGGTTCCCCAAGGTTGAGAACTACGGCCTTCGATGGTCTTCTGTGGGGAACAAATAGAAAGCAGGAGTAGATGGAGGCCTTTAATAGACCACTAAATAAAAAAACACCCCACATGCCGCTTGCTAGCTTTTCGCAGATCACAGCCCATGACTCCAGGCCTGCCCCGGATAAGTCTGTGTTTCCTTTAGGTTTCAAAAAATGAAAGAGCAGGCAGGCTTTATGGACCCGGTCTCTCCCTGTTTCCCGGAGGCTGGAGCCCATAACCTTTGGTTTCAGTCGCTTGATCCCTGGGGCATTCGATAATCTGCCATAGATTTGCTGGACCGGACAGCTGGTTTCATAGCTGTGATAAATAAACGAAACCTCCCTATTCAGAGGCAGTGTATCCCAGATCTTGGCAAATGTGTCCTTTTTTCCCCCCCAAGATTCAGCTGAGGGATCTCGGGAGTGGTAATCCGAAAGAGGAACCTTTCTAAATCTTGGATCCCCGGATACAAGTTGCCGGGCTTGTTAAGCCTGGCCTTTATGAGAAAGCACGGATCCCGGCTCCGCCTGGTCATTCTTTCCTTCTCCCTTTCACCGCTTGCCCCCTTCCTCTTAGGCCGCTGTGCCCGGTGCGGGGAGAACGTGGTAGGCGACGGCACCGGCTGCGTGGCGATGGACCAGGTCTTCCACGTGGAGTGTTTTACGTGCGCCACTTGCCGCTGCCACCTCCGCGGACAGCCGTTCTACGCCATCGATCGCCGCTCCTACTGTGAATCGTGCTACATTGTGAGTGATGAGGTGGGGTTTGTGGGGCCAGGCTTTTGGGGGAGGAGGAGAAGGGTTTCGAACGAGGGAACCTCAGAATCAAAAGGTCTCTTTTTCCCTCCCTTTGGTCTTCAGAGGGATGGCATTAGCGAAGGGTAGACCAGCTGGCTAACGTAAACCGTCTGTAGGCCAATACACTTTGGCTCAGCTTTTGTCTCGGAAGCGTTGAAGTCCTGATACACAAGACTCAGTGTGTGGCTGTCGTGAAAACCAGCTTATTTGTGTGTGCGGCAGGGCAGAGAAAATTACAAAGAGGGAATCCTAGGAAACCTGATCCCTCGGCTTTTGGATGCACCTTGCGGTTGCCTTTCTAGGATTCCCGGTAGCATTCTGATCCAGTCCCCTGCTCCCATGTTTTTCTTCCTGACTGGAGATTCCCACATGTTTTCTGGTGCACTTTTAAAGATATGCATTTTAACACATTTTTTCTCATTTGCTGCACTGCGTTGATAGTTCTGAACTATGCTCCTTTTTAATCAAGTGCATTTATTTGCACACCTTTTCGGAAAATAAAAGCAGCTTCCTTTGAATCCCTAGATTTTTTTTTTCCCAAGGGGGAAGGAGGACGTCATTTTGGTGCCCTCTGGTGTTTCGATCCCATTCCTGCAGGGTCTGTGGAATGGATCAAGAGCAGGCAGAATCCCAACTTTTGCAGGCATTCCATAATTCTCCATTTGTTGTTGTTCAATCGTTAAGTCATGTCCGACTCTTTGTGACCCCATGGACCAGAGCACGCCAGGCCCTCCTGTCTTCCACTGCCTCCCGGAGTTTGGTCAAATTCATGTTGGTCGCTTCGATGACCCTGTCCAGCCATCTCGTCCGCTCCATTAGAGCTTTGCAATGTTGAGTTTTTGGACTACAACTCTTATAACCCCCTGGCAAGCATGGGCGGTTATCCAAAAAGCCTTTTTTTCTAGACCCAGCTTTTTACTTCTTTCTTTGAAGAGCAGACCGGTCCGTCAGCAAAGGGGATTCAAGCCAGAGTGAATACCTTTTTCTGAAGCTTTTTGGTCCTGGCAGATGGCTTTTTTCCTTCTTCTTCACGTGAATCAGCCAGAAACAGAAGCTGAAAAACCCCAGAGGCCCTCCAGATGCATGGCCGGTTGTCAAGGACGATGGGAGACGTAGTTCAGAACTGTGGGAGGATCAAAAGGTTCTGCAAATTCTGCTCTGAAATGCAAAAAGTGGCACCAGCATTGGATAAAAAGCGTAACTTCCATTTGTTCAGGATGGAATGTAGAAGACCCATTCCACTTTCAGAATGCAGCTCTCAGAAATTTTTTTTTTTGAACTACAATTCCCAGAACACTTTGGATCGGCAGAGAGGGCTCTCGGGGAACTTATAGTCAGAAAAAAGTGATAACTCTTTTTTCACTTCCCAAGCTCCAAAAGGTTTTTCTTTCTTGAAGAACGGAATGGCGAACCCCTTCTAAATAGTTCCTCCTTGAAAATAAATCAGAATTAACTTGATGCCAAACGGTGGTTTGTGATGGTTCTCATCTTTTAACCGCTCTTTCTTTCTAGGTGACCTTAGAAAAATGTTCCATGTGTTCCAAGCCGATCATGGACCGCATCCTGCGAGCCATGGGCAAGGCTTACCACCCGCAATGCTTCACCTGTGTTGTGTGCCATCGATGCCTCGATGGGGTCCCATTTACGGTCGACGCCACCAGCCAGATCCACTGCATCGAAGATTTCCACCGGTAAAAAAGCTTACTGCCAAACTGAGCTGATTTCTCCCACCCACCCCCACCCCCGGAGGTTAGCTGCTGGGAGGAACAGGTACCTTTATAGAAAGCCACTGCTTTCCCAGAATTTTTGGGGGGGGTTGACCAAAGGGAACCGGCCACCCCGTGTCTGAGAGCCACAAAAAGCAGCCACAGACCGCTTGCCTTCTGGTTCCTTCCAAGCGGTTGTCTGACCTCCTGGTTTCTCTTGCAGAAAGTTTGCCCCTCGGTGCTCCGTGTGCGGAAACGCCATCATGCCGGAGCCTGGACAGGAGGAGACCGTGAGGATCGTGGCCCTGGATCGCAGCTTCCACATCGGCTGCTACAAATGCGAGGTGAGGGAAAAAAGGGAAGGGTTGATCCGTGGGGGAAACTTGCCGGGTTTTCGGATGCTGTCGGTGGTTTTAGTTGAAACTCTGTCCAAAACACTTTTAAAAAAAGGAGGGGGGGACACACACATCCCAATGAATTTGAAGTGTCTATGAGGAACAGATTTGCATTCCTAATGCCGATGAACTGGAATTGGAGGCCAGAGATAGGAATGAGGAGAGAAAGGACTGCTTCTGTAGTCGAAAAGTTGAAGTGTCTATAAGGAACAGATTTGCATTCCTAATGCCGATGAACTGGAATTGGAGGCCAGAGATAGGAATGAGGAGAGATGCAGAAAGGACTGCTTCTATAGTCGAAAACAGAGAGAAAAGCCTTGATGGATCGTAATTTTAACATTCAGAAGGAAGAAACTGAGGTTGTTAAAAGGTTTTCTCTATGTTGGTCGAGTCATGAGTCCAAATGGAGAGGGCCTTCTCTGTGGCTGCTCCTTTAGACTCTGGAACTCCTTCCCACTGGAGGCCAGCCTGATCCCGTCTTTGCTCTCCTTCCACAAGCAATTACCCCGTCTTTGCTGTCCTTCCACAAGCAGTTGCTCTCTTCCAGCAAGCTTTCCCTGGGTAACCAGCTGCCTGTAGACCTTTCTCTTCCGGCAAGCTTTCCCTGGGTGACCGGCTGCCTGAGTGGCAGGTTTTAAATTGAATGTTTTGCCTTCCTGCTCTGGATGTATTTTTTAGCATTCCCTTTGCTTACCTTTTTAGTGTGAAATCGGTTTGACTCTTTTAAATCCTTGTACGCTCCTTGTGTTTTAGCTTTTAGATGTTGTGTTTTTAATGATGTCAGCCGTCTTGGGCCCCTTTTTAAGGAGAAAGCTAGAGCAAAAAAAATTATTTTAAATAAAAAAATACAAGCAGACCAGCCTGCTGGATTGATGAGGAGAGGTTTGGCTGGCTGGGAGGAAAATCTAGGGGCCGAGGGTGGGAGAGACGATCTTTCATTGCTGCTTCTCTTCCCAACCACTCCACCTTTCTCCCCATATTCTCTCCGGCAGGAGTGCGGGCTGCTTCTCTCCTCCGAGGGAGAAGGCCGAGGCTGTTACCCTCTGGATGGCCACATTCTATGCAAAAGCTGCAGCGCCCGGCGGATTCAAGAGCTATCCTCCAAGATCACGACGGACTGCTGATCAGTAAACGGGAAAACATTTTCCCCTCCACGGAGGAGTGGGTCATCATCAGCAGCCTTTTCTTTTTCCTCCCTTCCGTCTTCCTCCTCAGTGGGGGGGCGAGAGGCGGTGGGCAGGCATGGCTCTTTCTTTTGGCTTTTGCTCTTCAATCCAGCCCTCCTTTCTTTTTTCTGCTGGGGGTCACCCCTTCTTCCCCCCCTCCCCTGAAATGTCCATCTTTTCATTTCTGCACCCCATTTAGGAAAACACATCGTTACCATCGAAGCTCTCCCCCGGTGCAGAACTTGGAAGAGGTGTGGGTTTGTTTGTTTTTTTCATTTTTGGACTACAACTCCCAAAATCCACCCGCAGCATTTTAGGAGGTGTACTGTCCCGAGAAGAGGGAATTTTCCTGACTTCTGACATGGGGATTTTTGTGGGGGGAAGGAAAGTGTTTGGAGCTAGAATTCCAGCAATAGAAGAGAGGCACCTCTTTCCGTCTCTTTCCCCCCCCCCCTCGCCATTCCCACTGGAAGCCGTGCGTGGATCGCAATCCTATCCTGCAGGGCACAGAGGGAGAAATAAATGATCTCCGCCTTCTTTCTGTCCCAGTCTTTTCCATAGCCGAATATTCTGGGCCCATAAGCTGGTCTGAGTTGGTTGCTTCTGGGTTATATGCGGTTCCCTTCCTTTCCTCCAAAACCTTTCCGGGTTCGTTCATAGTAAAGCAAACCAGCCACCCCTCCTGTTTCCACCACCTTCTCCCAACCGAGCGGTTGCTTGTCCTCCCGGATCCTCTTCCCAGCTCCCGGCGCTTCGTGTCCTTCCTTCTGAACTGCATCTGGAGTCAAGTTCACCCTTTTTAAAAAAAAAACAAGCTGGAGTTGTTACTGTTATTTTTTGAAAAAAAATGAAACTCGTACTTCCTCTTCTGTCCCCCTCCCCAACGTCTGGTCTTCTTACCGCAAGGGATGTGGTGCGCATGTGCATTTTGTGTCCAAATTTAATTAAAGAGGTGTCAAATTTAAATTGCACCCTTTTTTTCCCCTTCTGTGTCTCAAGGAAGGGAGCATGGTAAATCACACAGAGAGGGAGAGAAGGAAGGGGGTGGTTGTCTCTACTTGGAGTTTGTGCTAAGACTGGCTTGGTTAGGCATTACAGTCAAGGGGCTGGCACGATTGCAGAGTTCTGAATTTCTGGTTGAGTTCCTCTAGCGGCACAGCAGAAGTGCAATGATTCGCAGAGAAAAAGATCTTCCAAGTTTCCCATAGTAGACCACCCCTTTCCTCATTAATTGGCACTTACAGTCTCAGAAACGCACTCTTGAGACGTTAGTAGCAGAAAGGATTTAGGCGGGCTTAGGCATCTGGCTACAGAGCCAGGGGCTGGGAATTCAATTCCCAGCTACGCCTCCTTGACAGGAGCTGTATACGATGGTGCCTTCCAGTACTGCAGTTTCAAGGTGGTTATAAAGAATAAAAAAAGGTTTTGTGTACTTACAGATCCATAGCAAACTGACAAACATGACTGCTTTCAGCAACAGACTCCAACAGAGTACAGACTGCCAACCTACAACAGAGAGGGAGAAAGACAAAGAGCAGAGAGGCGGGACTCTCTCTCAACTCAGAGGGAGGGTAGGAATGATTGGTTAGTGCTGGACAGATGGACAGTCAACCCAGCCCAGAAAAGACCTTCCCAGCCAATCCTACTAAAGGCAGCCGGCGAGGTTGGAAAAACTCCATAGGTCGGAGGAGCTACATTTTTTGAACTGTAACTTCTCCCAACCAGCATGGCCCACCATGATCAACAAGGAGAAAAGGTCACCTCAATGGAACGCCCCATTTGGGAGCAATGAAAATCTTGAGTGGCTTCTTGAACTTTATTACTGCGAAAGCCAAGTAATATTTTAGCTAAAGCTCACTTTGGAAAATACGTACTTAAAGGAAATGAATTGGAGCCTTAATATCAACAGGAGGAGCAAGAGCATCTATGAGCATGTGCAGAGTTCTTTCCTGGCCTAATTACCCCTTATACCTGGAATTAGGACACAGGGCTTTATGGGAAATGTAGTCTAAAACAACTTTTCCCTAACATTCCAAACAACTTGTAGCGCTGAGCATATTCTTGGTATTTTGGGATTGCTGAAGTTTATAAGAGCTTGTCTTATAAACAGCCTCTTAGAAAGAGGTTTACAAGAGGTTCTCTGGCACTCGAATACAAAGCTAGCTTTCCAGGTACGATGTACTACATTTCCCATCATCCTTGTCCAGGAAACCTGCCAGGAAGGGGCTGAAAATTGACCTTTCAACTTACCCACCTTTCCCCACATTCCCCCGCCCCCGAGAGCTGAAACGAAAAAGAAAGCAACCACATTGGCGCACCTGTCTGTGAAAAAGACAGACAGACAAGACGCTTTTGGGCCGTCGGTAGCAGCAAATCGGTTCCCAACTGGAAGAGTTTTTGGGCGAGCCTGTTTTGTGAAGTATTTCTGGGACGCACTCCGAATGACATGACTTTAGGACACCCAGCCAATTTCAGCTAGCCAAACAACTTACAGAATCCTTGTGGACTGGTAACTTACTCGGGTTCGCCCTTTTACGAGACTGAGCTGCATGTTTGGTTGGAAAACAAAACCCATACGTCGGTGCCCGAAGCCGTAGCTGGGGCTCCTAAGGGGGAGGGGGTGCTTCTCAGCCCCTCTGTTTTGTTCCTTCGGAGACTTTGGGGGGGGCATACTAATCCTTTCCTTCCTCTGCGTGTGATGTGCGAGCCCACTTATAGCAACCCTAATAGGGCTTTCAAGGTAAATGTTTTCACCAGTTCCACGCCTGCAGTGAGTTTCCGTGGCCCAGCGGGGATTCGAATCCAGCTCTCCTGTCTTAGTCTGTCATTCTAGCCAAGACACCACACCAGGCACCCAACCCCTGGCTATATTTCCAGGTATGCCTGTATCCTTTCGCTCCAAGGACACCCTGGCTTTTTCCTCTTGGTTGCCCAAGATGCCCCATCTTCCTCCCACCCCATCCTCTCACAGAACCACCACCCCCACCTGCTCACCTGCCTCCCCTGAGGGGGGCTTTCTTTCTCTCTCCTATTGGCTGCTCCCATCCCCTGTCTCTTCCTCCAATTGGCTGCCTTCCCAGAGGCAGGAACTGGTGGCATTCAGCAAACAGGTGAGTGCAGTCCACCTGCCATACAGGTGTGAGCCCCCCTCCTAGTAGCAACCATGAAGTCTCCCCAGCTTTGCTTGTTCCTGCTGGCCGTGAGCCTCCTCCCTGGAACTCCGACCCCTGCCGGTTCCCTGGAACTCCTTAGCCCTGAAAGGAAGGTAAGGGGCTTTCCGGGGGGAAGGGGAAGGAGGGTGGCTACGTTTGGGAATGAGGGTCTCCTTTGGATGCCTTCCCCCCCAAAAAAAACCCTTTAATGTTCTCAAAACTAGGAAGAAACAGTCATGATTTTATTTTGTGGGATTGCATGTTTTAGGTGAGCCATGGCTGGTCTCCTAGAACAGAGGTAGGAAATTGTGTGATTTGGGGGGGGGGGAACTACAGTTCCTAGCGGTCTTGCTGATGGGATTTAAGATTCTTGTAGTCCAAAACCAGTAACGTTCCCCCCCCCATGCTCTGCGCCAGATGATGCTGGACGGAGACAGCCAACTCCATCACAAGGGAAGAGTGGCAGAAATAGTGGTCCTAAACCCATCTAGAGGGCTGTTGAGTGCCCCCCACCCACCCTATTTTAGGGGTCCCAAGGCAGGCAGGATGAAAATGGTGGGAGGGGGCTTGTTAGCTTTACACCTGGGAAGCTGTGTTTGCAGGACTCCTAGGTTTTGTTTGGGGTGGACTAGATGATCTCTGGGAGGACCCCTTCTGACCTCTGTGGCTCTAGAGGATTGGAGCAAAATGAGGTGAGATGGATGAAAATATTCCTAAGGGAAATGAGATAGTCATCTCCCCCTGCCACACACACACACACCTCCACATCTTGCGCTCCCCACACTGGGAAAAAGTCTAGGTTCATCATGTTGAGAGAGAGGGTGGGCTCACAGATGACAGGGGGAGAGGGGATCGGCCGCCACATTTCCTGACACCCGTGAAACCTGCTCTAAAGGAGATTTCCACAGTAGAAAATGCCTTGGGGACCACCTTCCACCCCTAGCATGCTGGCTGGATGGGTGTTGTAGTCCAACAGGGGGTGGGGGAGCACAGACAGTAAAAAAAACCCTACAAAAAAACCCAACAACCTCAAAATAGGTTCTAAGGTTTTAAAAGTGACAATTCCTTCTTTATGGGCCTGGAAGAGGGAAGAATGATGGCTTTTTGATTCTGAACGAGATCTGAAACATCGTTCCCCACCTGAATTAGGATGAGTTTGGGGAAGCTGGATTGGAAGACGCTGACACCCATGCGCCCCAGCCATCCTAGGGGAACGCTGGGCCATGTTGTCCAAACGAGGAACTTTCCTTCCCCACTGAGTTCTGAAACCGCCCTCTTGAACCCTGTGCTCACCTCAGTCTCCCTTCTTTGCTCTCTCTCTCCCTCTTCTTCCCTTTTCCCCTTTCTGCCTCTCTGTCCTCCCCCCCCCACGCACACCCCGAAAAAGGAGGACGCCTCCCCGGGCCGCCTTTTCCTGCGAGCCATCGCGGGCCTCCACCGCCCCCCACAATCTGGCCCCCACCGGTCTGGCCTGCCACCGGTTCCAGGGAAGCCCCCCCGGGAACGCAAAGCCGGCTGCAAGAGCTTCTTCTGGAAGACACTGACCTCCTGTTAGACTTTCCGGGTTTTGGAGGCAGGATTTGCACTCAGCTCCTCCGAAAGATCCACGTCTCTCTCTCTCGTTTTGCTACGACGCAAAGCCGGCTGCAAGAGCTTCTTCTGGAAGACACTGACCTCCTGTTAGACTTTCCGGGTTTTGGAGGCAGGATTTGCACTCAGCTCCTCCGAAAGATCCACGTCTCTCTCATTTTGCCACAATCCCACGTTTTCCCCGGAGAACTCCTGTATCATCTCGAGAGCCGGACCGCCTCCGTTTTTCCTCCTTTCCACCTTTCTCTGCTATGTATCCAGTTCTCCCTCTTTCCAGGGAATACCTGTGAAATATTAAAACTTTCTTTAGCAACTGTACC